TTTAAAAGTAATCTTCTTATTTTTCATTGTTTATTTTGCTTTTAGTTTTATATGTGAAATATTTGGGTGATTAATTAATTAATTTATTCTTGGCTCTAAAGTATAAAGAGGTGAAAGCGTTTTTTCTTTTTCTTCTCCTTCAGTGGTTAAGCAACCAGGGCAGGGGGGAAAGTTTGTGTTCTTGAAAGTCCCCTTCCGCTCCAATTCTAATCTTGCTTTTGTAGTTGTAAAGAGTGTGAGAATATGTCTTACTTCACATAAGATGAAAAAAATATATTGGTATATACATGCTAAAAGTCTCTGAAAAGGAAGGATTATAATCTTATCCCAGTACTGATGACATCCTATCCCTGCAATCATGTTTTTATATCTCTAAGAGTAAGTGATCTACAATCTATGCAATCAGTTTATTAACAATTCATAACACTCCCCTCCAAGTTGGAGCATAGATGTTAATCATGTCCAACTTGTTACATAAATAATTAACCTAAGTACCGTTAAGGTTGTTGTGTAAAGGTTTCTAAGTTACTCTCCAGTCATCACAAATCTTGTAGATGTCAAGCCTCATTGCAACTTCAATATTCTTGGTTCGTTCATGAAAGATAGGATTGGATGCAATATGAAGTGCGGCTTGATTATCATACTATAATTTTGCAGGAATAGGAGTTTTGAAACTTGCTTCACACAAAAGATGATATACCCATATTACCTCACATGCATATTGTGTCGTAGCCCTGTATTTTGACTTTACACTTGATCATGATACAACGTTTTGCTTCTTACTCTTCCATGAAACTAGATTCCCACCAAAGAAGACACCATTTCCAGTTGTAAATCCTTCAATCTTCCTTAGACCCTGCCAATCAGCATTTGTAAAACACTCAGTTTTTGTATGCCTATGATTTCTATATAGGATTCCTTGTCCAGGAGCTCCTTTTAGATAATAAAGAATTTGTTCCATAGTAGCCCAATGATCATTTGTTGGGGATGACATGTATCGACGTGGCTAACAGGATATGTAATATCCAAATGAATTATTGTTAAATAGTTTAGCTTCCCAAGTCTTCTATACCTTTTCAGATCCTCAAACAATTCCCCTTATTTTGTGAGCTGTATATTGAGAATCATGGGAGCATTACATGGTTTAACTCTCAAGTTTCATGTTTTAGTCAACAGATCAAGCACATGCTTTTGCTGGGATAGTAATATCCCTTTCTTATTTCTTGTGACTTCTATACCCAGGAAATATTTTAGCATCCCTATGTCTTTTGTGATAAATTGAGTATGAAGAAATGACTTGAGGGCTGTATACCTTTGGTATCACTTCTTGTGATGACAATGTCATCTACATAGACCACTATAGCAAGACAATACCTATTTTAGATCACTTATAAAACAGAGAGTGGTCAGATTTTCCTTTTTGCCATTTCAAACTGCTCTGTTGCTTGACTAAATTTTCCAAACTAAGCTCGAGCACTTTGTTTTAAACCATACAGAGATTTGGAAAGTTGGCATACCTTCCCATACTTCCCCTGAGCAACAAATCTAGAGGGTTGCTCCATGTACACTTCCTCTTGAAGATCTCCATGTAGAAAGGCATTCTTGATTTCAAGTTCATGCAAAGGCCATAGATAGTTGTCCTTAAAATAAGCAATCGAATAGATGTGAACTTAGCAACAAGGCAAAGGTGTCAAAATAATCTACCCCTTAAGTTTGAGCATATCCTTGCACTATAAGGCGAGCCTTCAATCGAGCAAAAGATCCACCAGATGTGATGGCAAATGCCCATTGTAGCCAATAGGTTTCTTCCCTACAAGTAAGCTTACCAAATTCCAATTACCATTCTAGTCTAAAGCATTCATTTCTTCTATCATAGCATTGTACCATCCATGATGGGACATGGCTTCTTTCACTATTTTAGGGAGAGAGGCAGAGTCAATGGATGCAATAAAAGAACAAAAGAACAAGATGATGGTGGCAGATTATTATAAGTGACAAAGGAAGAAACAAGACAACTGCACTTGTGTTTACCTTTGTGAAGAGAAATTGGAATATCATCATTGGAGACTTGATCTAATGTCGAAGAAATTGGTTCAGGACACGGGGGTAGGTATGGGCTCAGGTATGAATCGTATAATGGGGGTTAACTTAGGAAGCCTTGGTCTACAAGAATAAACTTGAAGAACTGAAGGGCACATTTTGAAACTGAGGACACAACTTCAACAAAGGTACCTAAGCAACAATGGGTTTCAAAAGGAGAAACAACAACTAAACGTGCAACAGATTTTGGCTTGTCGATGTCAATGATGTAGAGGCCAAGGCCACTGGACTCATGTACCAATAATCTTCTTCGTCATAATATCCTAAAACAAATAATAGCTGGTAAAGAATGTGACAACAATTGAGAGCACGAGTAAGCTTGTTGACAGAGATCAAATTAAAGGACAAATTAGGTAAACCTAGAACATATGACAAGGGAATTGAAGGAGTTGGTGCAATAGAGCCAAGCCCAAGTGTCTGTGAAACAGACCCATCAGTAAGAGTGACAAGAAGACTAGAATTATGGGCTGTAAAAGTTGAGAATAAGCTACAGTTACTTGTTATATGGTCTGTGACACCCAAGTCAATAGCCTATTTGGAAGTGGAAGAAAAAAGGCCGGTGTGTGGGTTACCTGAATCGGCAACTGTTGTGATAGGAATATTTGAAGACTTTAGTGTCTCTTGATATTGGGAGAACTTAGCAAACTTATTTGCAGAGATTATAATAGACTAGGTAGACACGTCATTGGTGGAAGCAACACTAGCATACTGAATCCCTCAATTCTTGTTCTACAATTTCCTACAGTCATGAAAAACAATTCCGCTTGAGTTTTTCCCTTGAGGGTCTCTACCATTACCATTGACGGTTTGTCTTCCAGAGTCAAGACAAAGAATTTTTACTTACAAGATCACTACTCAATTGAATAGATTGAGAGTTTTCTGCGTAATACTTGAGAAGAAGTATCTTGTAATGAAGGTATTTCAGGACTAGTCAAAACCTAAGATATTTAGCTAGAAGTCCTACGAAAAAACTCATGACAACCATTTGTTCTTGTTGCTTTTGTTGAAAATTTATATCATTACTAAAGTGCATTAATTGATTTAGTTCCTCATATGTTTTCTTAAATTTCATGAAGTAAGTGATGAGTGACTTATCTTACTTCTCAGCCCGGTAAAGAGCTTTGTAAACATTGTACATATGAGTAACATTTCTTTTTCCAAAATACAAAAACTAGAAATATTTCATTAACTCTTTAAAAGTTTCACAATGACGGACTAAATTGATCACATCATTATCAATAAAATTCCGAATTTGTAAATGTTAGAAATAAGCAGTTATAGAAGATGAAAGGCATAACAATAAATAGGCTAGGAGGTGAAAAGTCTGTGAAACTGTCCATTGTTATAGTATATATATCTGAGTTGTAAGCAGTCAAAGAATACACAGAATAAACAGAGAAACAGGGAAACGAGGTTAGTATCCACAACTTCTTCCATTTTAGTTTTCTACATGGTATCAGAGCCGGTGAGAGTGAAGTAGTGGGCTTTGCTCGGAACGGGAGGACGACGCCGGAGCTCGAGTCGCGACGTCACCGGAGCAGCCACGCGCCGCCGTCACAGACTGCTCGCCGACTCACGCGCCGGCGCGTGAAGGAGTTTTCCGGCGACCATCTTCGACGGCGAATACACCGGTGGGCTCGCCGTGAAGTGTAGAGTCCGTATGAGTGGAGAGAAAGAGGTTTCGAGCAACTTCATATCGTTCGCGAGAGAGAAGACAAACCTGCTGTGCGGTAATATTGTTTGTTTTTGCCTTTTGGAGTAGTGTGTGCCTTTCTTTGTGCCTTCTGGAGTGTTGTTGAATATTGGATAATGGAAGTTCAGTATTGTGGTTCAGTACTGCGGTAATTTCATATCCAGCTTTAATTTGGAGTATTGCTGTGTTTTTTTTTACTGGGCACGTATATAATATGGCAGAAAACAAAAATATTACTGTTGTGTCTACTCCGTCTAAATTAATTGATGTAGTTCTGGCTGCTGATGGGTCTAATTTTGCTGAATGGAAATTTTTGGTCAAAATTAATTTGGATGGAATGGGTAAAGGTGACCATTTAGATACAGATTGCCCTCCAGATAATAAGGAGTGGGAGGCAGATGATAAAGCTTTGTTATCGCGGGTAATTAATTGTATTGATAGGAAAGTGATCTTATCAATGCAACATTGTACCACGGTTAAAGCAGTGTGGGATCTAGTGTCTGAATGGTTTAGTGGGTCAAGTAATTTGAGGAAACTGTATCAGTTGTCCCAGGATGTTTATCGTCCTAATCAAAAGGGTCGAGATCTACGAGATTACTATTATGATTTCAAAAGTTTAAGTGAAGCTTTATGTACTGCGATGCCTATTACAACTGATGTAAAAACAATGAAAGCTCAACGTGATCAATTAATTGCCTTTAGCTGGATTTCTGGACTTGACAAAGAGTATGAGGTTCTTAGGTCACAATTGTTGGGAAACAAAGAGTTAGGATCATTGGATCAAGTATTCTCCCAGATACAGAATGCATCAGTAAGTACTGATGAACCCCCCGAGAAGAACGTTTTTATATCACAAGGCAGCAATAACGAAGGAAGTACGTTTGTGTCGCAAGGGAGGTATACTAATGAAGGGTACAATAGTCACGGTGGAGGTGGTCGTCATCGAGGACGTGGAGGAAGGGGCCGCGGAGGAGGTCGTGGAGGACCAAGGGTATGTTTCAATTGTGGAGAACCAGGACATTTCAAGAATCAATGTCCTAAACCACCAAGACAGCAAAGATTTGCTAACACAACCTCTGGGCCTGAAGGACATATGGTGGTTATGACAAATGAGGAGTTAGCAGTATTCAATCAACTGAAGGGGTCTTCTCTTGTGCAGTCTCCACCCCAGTTTCCATCCAATCAACCGACTTCTTCTGCCACCTTTGTCCAAACAGGTAATCCTGTTGCATGTGTGTCTTCTTCATCTACACAATGGGTCATTGACTCCGGAGCTAGTGACCATATGACAGGTAATTCTAAAATTTTTTCCTCATATTCTTCATCAAACCCTGGGGCCATGGTTACTCTGGCAGATGGGTCATCTGTTCCAGTTTTAGGTCGAGGCAGTGCTGTTGCAACCTCCTCATTACCTTTGTCATCTATATTATATCTTCCAAAGTTTCCCTTTAATTTGCTTTCCATTAGCCAAATCACACGGACTTTGAATTGTTTTGTCTCCTTTTTTCCGGGTTATTGTTTATTTCAGGATCTTTTGACGAAGAAGATTATTGGTAAGGGGAAGGAAATCGGAGGACTATATGTTTTGGAACAGTCTGTATCTCCGTCCAAGGCCATGTTGAGTGATACCTCTCCTCTTCAACTACACTGTCAGTATGGTCATCCATCACTGTCGATCCTAAAGAAGTTGTTTCCTGGTTTAGAGTCATTGTCTACTTTGCAGTGTGAGTCGTGTGAGTTTGCTAAGCATTGTCGGGGTTCCTATCCTCCTCGTGTCAATAACAGAGTGCAATCTATATTTGATCTTGTTCATTCTGATGTCTGGGGTCCTTGTCATGTCACAGGGACGAACGGGTTTAGATATTTCGTAACATTTGTAGACGACTTCTCTAGGTGTACGTGGTTATATCTTATGAAATCTAGAGATGAGTTGTTTACAATTTTTTGTAATTTTTGTGCTGAGATCAAAACCCAGTTTAATAAAAGTATTAAGTGTGTGCGAAGTGACAATGCACAAGAGTATTTCTCTAAACCTTTTTCCACTTATATGAGCCAAAATGGTATGGTTCATCAGTCCTCGTGTGCGTATACCCCTCAGCAAAATGGAGTGGCAGAAAGAAAGAACCGTCATGTGTTAGAAGTCGCTCGGGCACTTTTGTTTCAGATGAAGGTGCCTAAGGTTTTTTGGTCTGATGCTGTTCATACTGCGTGTTTTTTGATCAACAGGATGCCTTCATCTGTCCTTAAAGGACAAATTCCTTATTTTTTGGTGTATCTAACAGAACCTCTCTTTCATCTCCCACCAAAAATATTTGGATGCACTTGTTTTGTCCAGGATGTTCGTCCTCAACGCAGGAAACTTGATCCTAAATCACTTAAGTGTATATTCCTGGGGTACTCGCGTACTCAAAAGGGTTATAGGTGTTATTCACCTAACTTGGGGCGGTATTTAGTGTCAGCTGATGTTACCTTCTTTGAAAACATGGTGTTCTCTGGGGATGTGGGATCGTCTGGGTATGGGTCTACTCCAGATAATGATTTCCTTACGTATACTATTACCATACCAGTCGAGTCTGTTTCTAGGCCCCCCATTACACAGGTTTATACTCGACGGCCGAGAGATGCAGTGGCACCGCCTGAACCGCAAGTGGATACTTCCCCCTTACCAGAATCTTCGTCAAATGACCTGGATCTTCCCATTGCCCTTCGTAAAGGTAAACGTCGTTGTCAAAACCCTATTTCCTCTCTTGTGTCTTATGATCATTTGCCACTATCATCTCGCACCTTCGTATCACGTTTAGATTCTGTGTCAGTTCCAAACACTTTGAGTCAAGCAATAGCTCATGATGGATGGAGACACGCAATGGAGGAAGAGATGGTTGCTCTTGAAGACAATCATACTTGGGATTTGGTACCCCTCCCGGCTGGTAAGACGGCAGTTGGTTGCAAATGGGTTTATGTTGTGAAAATGAATCCTGATGGGTCTGTGGCTAGACTTAAAGCTCGTTTAGTGGCAAAGGGATATACACAGACTTATGGTGTTGATTATACAGAAACATTCTCCCCTGTCGCTAAGATCGCTTCAGTACGTATTTTTATTTCCTTAGCTGCGTCTAAACATTGGCCTCTGTATCAGCTAGATGTCAAAAATGCCTTTTTGCATGGTAAGTTGGATGAGGAAGTCTACATGGAGCAACCTCCTGGGTTTGTTGCTCAGGGGGAGTCTGGGAGAGTGTGTAAATTGAAGAAGTCTCTATATGGCTTGAAGCAATCACCACGAGCTTGGTTTGGGAGGTTTAGTAGCGTGATTATTGAGTTTGGTATGCAAAGGAGTATGTGTGATCATACTGTCTTTTTCAAGCACACTAATGTTGGGTGCATTTTCTTGATTGTTTATGTTGATGATATAGTAATCACAGGTAGTGATGCAGTGGGAATTGAAGCTCTTAAATCTTTTCTCAAAGAAAAGTTTCACACGAAAGATTTGGGAGTATTGAAGTATTTTCTAGGGATTGAAGTTGCTCGCTCTCGGAGAGGAATATTTCTTTCCCAAAGGAAATATGTGTTAGATTTGCTTGATGATACTGGGCTGTTGGGATCAAAACCATGCGAGACCCCTATGGAGCAGGGCGTTAGACTTGTGGCTGGTGAGGGGGAGGCTTTTGACTCTCCAGAAAGATATAGGAAGTTGGTGGGAAAGTTGAACTATCTCACCATTACGCGTCCAGACATTGCTTTTCCAGTCAGCGTGGTAAGTCAATTCATGCAAGCACCTACACGAGCTCATTGGGAAGCAGCAGTTCGAATTGTAAAGTATCTCAAGAATGCGCCCGGTAAAGGCATTCTATATGCTGATCATGGACATATGAGAATTGAGGCTTTTTCAGATGCTGATTGGGCAGGTTCGTTGAGCGACAGGAAGTCTACAACAGGATATTGTGTGTTCGTGGGAGGTAATTTGGTTTCTTGGAAAAGCAAGAAACAAACTGTTGTGGCTCGGTCCAGTGCGGAATCTGAGTATAGGGCAATGGCTCATGTGACATGTGAGATAACTTGGGTGCACAATATGTTGAAGGAAGTTGGTGTGGAAGTGGTAAAGCCTATACGTTTGTGGTGTGATAATCAAGCGGCTATACACATTTCAAATAATCCAGTGTTCCATGAGCGTACCAAGCATATTGAGGTAGATTGTCATTTTGTGCGTGAAAAGATTCAACAAGGCTTAATTTCTATGGCTTATGTTCGTAGTGGCGATCAACTAGCTGATTTGTTCACTAAAGGGCTCAGTAGGGACAGGGTTGAATATATTTGTAACAAGCTGGGCATGCTTAATATCTATGCTCCAGCTTGAGGGGGAGTGTTAGAAATAAGCAGTTATAGAAGATGAAAGGCATAACAATAAATAGGCTAGGAGGTGAAAAGTCTGTGAAACTGTCCATTGTTATAGTATATATATCTGAGTTGTAAGCAGTCAAAGAATACACAGAATAAACAGAGAAACAGGGAAACGAGGTTAGTATCCACAACTTCTTCCATTTTAGTTTTCTACAGTAAAAACAATTTGGCTCATCCTCTCTCAACCAAGTTTTCTTAGTGTTCTCATTTTTAGGTTCCTCATCAATTCTATGGTCATCTTTATCTATACTACGTAACCACACTAAAAGATTGAATCCAACCAATTAGCTAGTTTAACCATGGCCTTATATACCCACATGTTCTCTCTTATTTTATCAAAATGTGGGACTCTTAACAAACTAATAGTTCGTAAATTTTGACGTGATTGAACCACATCGGAGACTATAAAAGACTTACCCTCAGCCATTCAAGAGCAAATAAAAAAAACCCAGCCAGAATCTCAAAACAAAAGCAAGAGAACTTGAGATGAGTCTGACGGACAAAGGGGACTAACACCAGAGAAGAAACTGTCCAAATCGAGCCCAAAAAAGTGTTGTACGGACTCAGGCAACCAAAAGTTTTTCAGGTCACTGATGAAGGCTCACGTGTCGGCGTGTGAAGAACCGGCAAAGACGTGCATAGGAGTGTGTGGCGGTGTGGGTCATGCACAATGATTCTGGCCACAGAATTTTTCAAGGAAGGTTGTCGGATGCCGATGCTCCTCCTTGGTTGGGTTGTGGTGACAGTAGATCTAAAAAACCAAAAACCCAAGCCTACTATGAACAGAAGACAAAAAATAAAAAAGACCGGAAATAAAAATTTCAAAGACAAACTGACACTGATACCATGTATGCAGTGTAAAAAGAATATGTCTTACTTCATATAAGATGAAAGAATACAGTGATATATATTCATGTTATAAGTCGTAAAACATAATCCTATACTAGTAATCATGCCATCATATCCCTACAATCATGTTATTCTATCCCTAAGATTAGGTGATCCACAATCTATTCAATCAGTTTATTTACAATTCAAAACACTAGTTAATTTCCCTATGCATTTTATTCTCACTTGCATGTTTTTACTAGAATATTGCCATCTGGTTGTCACCTTATTTTACTATTTCTTGGTGGTTATTTTAGAAGCGGGATTTGTGATGTGTGATAGTAAATGACTAATTGGTAGGCAAGATGGAACCAAGTATTGGAGTTACGTTCATTTAAGTGGTGAAACTATTGTATTTGGAGAGGTATTCTAATGCGTTATTTCCACATGCAACTATCTCAACCCTTTCTTTCTTTCTTTCTTTCTTCTTCTTATTATTTATTTATTTTTTCTTCTGGTTTTTATATTATAAGTGACAATTTAAAGAGAGATTGGAATCTAATCTGTTGACACAGCTTTTCTTAATGTCTTATGACACAGTGGACTAATTTTAAATCCATTTTAAATGCCCCTTACTTTCAAGGCACATGATGGTGGTGTTACTGCTGTGGAGCTTTCTAGAGGGATTGGTAGAACCCCCTGGCTAATTACGATAGGTGCTGATAAAACATTAGCAATTTGGGATACCGTTTCGTTTAAGGTACTGCATCGCATTGCTTTATTCAAAAGCGCTGTGTTATATAAATGTATTTGTATACCATCAGTTTCCTCTACCCCAACCTAGCTACTTTATTTCTAGGAATTGCGCAGAATAAAACCGGTTTCAAAATTGGCTTGCAATAGTGTCCAGTCTTGGTGCCATCCTCGGGCTCCAAACCTTGATATCTTGATATGTGTTAAGGATTCCCATATTTGGTATGCATATTTCCCGCTTGATCCTACTTGCATTAGCATAACTAAATTGGACACCATAGATGAGAGCTTATTTTCAACTTATTCAGGCTTATCTACTGCTATAAGAACTTAATTTTATTGTGTTAACTTATGAAAAGAGCCTGTAACTTTTTGAAATGTGTTTTTATCTTATTATAGAAATAAGCTCAAAACAGCTTTTTTTTTTTTTTTTTTTTTTTTTTATAAGCCAGTTGAATGCCAAATCTGTTTAAGCTGTTTTAAACTTATATCATGGAACTTATTGGAAAGCTGTTGTCGTAAATATATTTATTTAAGCTGTTTATCCAGACTGAGCCTTAGTATTTCTGAGTTCTCTAAAGGAAGGGATGAGTTTCTGTGAACATTTGGCTGTAGTTCCAAAAACATCTCCTTGAGGATTTTTTTCCTTTCAAGTTTCAATAGAAGAAAACATTAAATTTTGTTGAGACTTTTGCAGGGCTATTGAACACCCCATTTATTCAGCTCTTACCAGGCCATTGTGCGAACTTTCCTCACTAGTTGCTCTACAACTACTTCCTTCACAGAAAAAGCTCAAAGTAAGTAGCTTATCCCTGATCTAAGTTTTCCTAACTTGTTTATGTGGTGCTAACAAAAAAATAGAAAGAAACAAACAAACTTGCTATATGAATGCTTGTGGTTATAGCAGATATGATGTTCTGAACTATGTATCTTGTGTTCAAAGGAGTTCAGAAAAATGTGTGTTCTATTTCTTATTTCATGAGTGAGGTTTAATGGTTGGAAAAAGTATTCTTCAAATAATCTTGCT